CTAGGAGGCTGAGGCAGGTGGATCACTTGCCTCACTTGAGGTCAGGATTTCGAGACCGGCCTGGCCAACATCATGAAACCCTGTCTCTACTAAAAACACAAAAATTAGCCAGGTGTGGTGGTTGTGCACCTGTAATTCCAGCTACTTGGGAGGCTGAGGCATGAGAATGGCTTGAACTTGAGAGGTCAAGATTGCAGTGAGCTGAGATCATGTCACTGCACTCCAGCCTGGGTGACAGAGCAAGACTCTTGTCTCAAAAAAAAAAAAAAAAAAGATAATGAGCCTGGGAGGCAGAGGCTGCAGTGAGCCGAGATCGCGCCACTGTCCTCCAGCCCAGGCGACAGAGCCAGACCCTATCTAAAAAATAATAATAATAGTAAGTATTTGAGGTGATAGATATGTTAATTAGCTTGAATTAATTATTCTACATTATAGTATAAGTCATAACTTCACTTTGTACCCATAAATACATACAATTATGAACTGTCAGTTTACAAACAACAACAGTCGGAAAACCTGCAATGAGATACCACCTCGCACCTATTAGGATGACTATTATAAAAAAAAATTATCCGCTGGGTGCAGTTGCTCATGCCTGTAATCTCAGCACTTTGGGAGGCCGAGGCGGGTGGATTGCCTGAGCTCAGGAGTTTGAGACAGGCCTGGGCAACACAGTGAAACCCTGTTTCTACTAAAATACAAAAAATTAGCCGGGCTTGGCAGCATGTGCCTGTAATCTCAGCTACTCAGGAGGCTGAGACAGGAGAATCGCTTGAACCCGGGAGGCAGAGCTTGCAGTGAGTTGAGATCATGCCACTGCACTGCAGCCTGGGCCACAGAGCAAGATTCTGTCTCAAAAACAAAAAAGGCCAGGCGTGGTGGCTCATGCCTGTAATCCCAGCACTTTGGGAGGCCAAGGTGGCCGGATCATAAGGTCAAGAGATCAAGACCATCCTGGCCAACATGGTGAAACCCCGTCTCTACTAAAAACACAAAAAACATACGTGTGCATGTGTCTTTATAGCAGCATGATTTATAATCCTTTGGGTATATGCCCAGTAATGGGATGGCTGGGTCATATGGTACATCTAGTTCTAGATCCTTGAGGAATCACCATACTGTTTTCCATAATGGTTGAACTAGTTTACAATCCCACCAACAGTGTAAAAGTGTTCCTATTTCTCCACATCCTCTCCAGCACCTGTTGTTTCCTGACTTTTTAATGATCACCATTCTAACTGGTGTGAGATGGTATCTCATTGTGGTTTTGATTTGCATTTCTCTGATGGCCAGTGATGATGAGCATTTTTTCATGTGTCTGTTGGCTGTATGAATGTCTTCTTTTGAGAAATGTCTGTTCATATCCTTTGCCCACTTTTGGATGGGGTTGTTTGTTTTTTTCTTGTAAATTTGTTTGAGTTCTTTGTAGGTTCTGGATATTAGCCCTTTGTCAGATGAGTAGGTTGCAAAAATTTTCTCCCATTCGGTAGGTTGCCTGTTCACTCTGATGGTAGTTTCTCTTGCTGTGCAGAAGCTCTTTAGTTTAATGAGATCCCATTTGTCAATTTTGGCTTTTGCTGCCGTTGCTTTTGGCGTTTTAGACATGAAGTCTTTGCCCATGCCTATGTCCTGCATCATGCTGCTATAAAGACACATGCACACGTATGTTCATTGCGGCACTATTCACAATAACAAAGACTTGGAATCAACACAAATGTCCATCAGTGACAGACTGGATTAAGAAAATGTGGCACATATACACCATGGAATACTATGCAGCCATAAAAAAGGATGAGTTTGTGTCCTTTGTAGGGACGTGGATGCAGCTGGAAACCATCATTCTTAGCAAACTATCACAAGAACAGAAAACCAAACACCGCATGTTCTCACTCATAGGTGGGAACTGAACAATGAGATCACTTGGACTCGGGAAGGGGAACATCACACACCGGGGCCTATCATAGGGAGGGGGGAGGGGGGAGGGATTGCAATGGGAGTTATACCTGATGTAAATGACGAGTTGATGGGTGCTGACGAGTTGATGGGTGAGTTGATGGGTGCTGACGAGTTGATGGGTGCAGCACACCAACATGGCACAAGTATACATATGTAACAAACCTGCACGTTATGCACATGTACCCTAGAACTTAAAGTATTAAAAAAAAAAAAAAAACTAAATTAGCCAGGTGTGGTGGTGGGTGCCTCTAATCCCAGCTACTTGGGAGGCTGAGGCAGGAGGATTGCTTGAACCCAGGGGGCAGAGGTTGCAGTGAGCTGAGACGGTGCCACTGCACTCCAGCCTGGGTGACAGAGTGAGACTCTGTCTCAAAATAAATAAATAAATAATAAAAAAAGAAAAAAAAAAAAACACAAAAATTAGCTGGGCGTGGTGTCGCACGCCTGTAGTCCCAGCTACTCAGGAGGCTGAGGCAATAGAATCGTTTGAACCCAGGAGGCAGAGATTTCAGTGAGCCGAGATTGCACCACTACCCTCCAGCCTGGCGACAGAGTGAGACTCTGTCTCGGGGGGAAAAAGAACAAAAAGTAGAAAGAAAAATTAGACTTAAAAATAAAAAGGTTAAATTGGGTTGATTGCCTTTATGAGTCGGGCCTTCAAGAGAAAGGTTTCTATCCTGGCTAACCCGGTGAAACCCCGTCTCTACTAAAAAAAAAATACAAAAAACTAGCCGGGTGAGGTGGCGGGCACCTGTAGTCCCAGCTACTTGGGAGGCTGAGGCAGGAGAATGGCGTAAACCCAGAAGGCGGAGCTTGCAGTGAGCTGAGATCCGGCCACTGCACTCCAGCCTGGGAGACAGAGCGAGACTCCGACTCAAAAAAAAAAAAAAAAAAAAAAAAAAAGAGAAAGGTTTCTGTACCACATTGTTAGGGTAAAGGAGAATATATCATCCAAGGGCCTAAACAGCAAGGATAAATTGGTTGAGAGTCTCTGAGAGCAGAAAAGGGACTTAAAAAATATATATTGGGGCCAGGCTCAGTAGCTCATACCTGTAATCTCAGCACTTTGAAAGGCTGAGGCAGGCAGATCACCTGAGGTCAGCAGTTCGAGACCAGCCTGGCCAACATGGTGAAACCCCATTTCTACTAAAAGTACAAAAATTAGCCAGGCATGTTGGGGCACTCCTATAGTCCCAGCTACCGGGGAGGCTGAGGCAGGAGAATTGCTTGAACCTGGGAGGCAGGGGTTGCAGTGAGCTGAGATACTGCCACTGCACTCTAGCCTGGGCAACAGAGCAAGACTCTGTCTCAAAAAAAAAAAAAAAAAAAAAAGTCACTGAGCGATGTCTTCATTTATTTATTTACTGCATTTGGCTGCTGTGTTTCCAATCTCAGTTGCAATTCCCACACTGAGGCTGTCCCACCCTTCCTGTGTCCCTTGAGCTGAGCAGGCACTTCCTGTCCTATTGGAAATGAAAGTTAGAGATTGGGGGTAGGGTATGTATATTTACTCTGCAGAATGCTAATACTGTCTGTTCCATTATCATAGCAAAAAAGTGACAGGGAAACTAGAATAGAGACCAGAACTTCATTTGAGGGAGGGTTTAGGCTTAATATTTGTTGTCATAAAACAGGGTTAATTTATATCTCAAGAGAATACTTAGGATGGCAGCAAGGTGGCCTTATGAATGGATTTGAAGGCTTTCATTTTATATCTCTATTCCACTTGGATTGTTAGGGGTTACTGGATATCATTCTGAAGTTTTTGGTTTCCTTTCTTGTTAAGGTTACTCCTACAAAGACATTCTTTGGAAACTAGTAGAGGTAAGTGTTGCAACTCTATTAAGTTCTTGACTCTGAAATTTATATCCCTTCCTAAGAATTTTGTGTTTTTATTCTGTTTGAAGCATATGCTTTTTAAGTAGGTTTTTTTTTTGTTTTTTTGGGTTTTCTTTGACAGCTCAAAGACAACTCGAAGCAGATATCCCAACTGTGGACGTCAATTTAGACATAAATTCCAGGTTTGGTGAGTTACTGTAATTGTTTCAGTTTCATGGATCTTAAAGACGAGGAAATAGTAGGGTAAAGTGTTAAATAAGATAGCCTGCAATTGTTAAAGAAATGCCTAGGCCCCAAGTTTCATGATATAGTCCAGTTTGATCATTCTTTCTTAAGTATGAACTCATTCCTTGGAGAATCTGAAATAGGGGTGAGGGGCATCAGCCCATTGGTGTGAGCCAAGAGAAACAGATCTAAGAATCTGAAACTAGTTATACCCCATACTCTGTTTTGCTTAGCTCTGCTATTTGGTGTGTTCCTCTGTTTGTTCCTTTGTACATTAAGATCACTGCAAATGGGCCAGGTGTGGTGGCTCACGCATGTAATCCCAGCACTTTGGGAGTTTGAGTGGGCAGATCACTTGAGGTCAGGAGTTCGAGACCAGCCTGCCCAACATGGCGAAACCCCATCCCTACTAAACAATACAAAAATCAGCTAGATGTGGTGGTGGGTCCTGTAATCCCAGCTACTCGAGAAGCTGAGGCAGGAGAATTGCCGAAGGTGGAGGTTGCAGTGAGCCAGATCCAGGATTGCACCGCTGCACTCCAGCCTGGGTGACAGAGTAAAACTTTGTCTAAAACAAAAAACAAAACAAAAAAAAAACACTGTAAATGTAAAGTAGGGGAAGCCCTGAGCTTATCTCAAACACTGTGTCTCTAACTCTGGTTTTTTTTTTTTTTACATGTTCTCCAAGGCAATGTCTCAGGAGCCCCTTTAAAATCAAGCTTGAAATCTTATAGCAGAGATCTAAGGGTGTAAATAAAGCCCTTGTTGTCTTTATATGAGAATCAGAACTTGTTCATAGAGGAAAGGGGGTAAATTTGAAAGGGGTTAGACCTAAGAACTCTGCTTTCTCGCTTTAACTCCTGAGACTGTGAAAAACAAACAAAAAATAACATCTTGGGCATTAGGACCCAGTCGAAGTGCCTCTGCCTCATTCAGACTCTGTTAACTTCTCTCAGTGACGTAAAGGAGCAGCCCGAGCTCATTCTCTGCCCGCAGCCCCCCTTCATCTCTCCCCTCCTGCTCCTTTTCTCCTCCTTTCTCCTCCCCCTCCCTTTTATCCTCCCTCCCTCTCCCCCTTTCCCTCGCTCCCCTCCTCCCTCCCTCCCCGTCTTTCTTACCCCCTCCCTTTCTCTCGCTCTCTCACTCGTTCCCTAACATTAAAGAGAAAATGCTGCTATCGGTGACTTCCAGGCCTGGGATTTCGACTTTTGGCTACAATAGAAACAACAAGAAGGTAGGGAAAAGCGCTTTTTTGGTGCCTAGCTACTTCTTTTTCTGGGGATCTGGCAATGCCCTTGGTTTTTACATTCTTTTTAAAGAGGGGAAGGGGATTTCTCTCTCAAGATTCCTAATTCCTCACCGTGCTTCTCCCTTTTCCACTACTTCTTTCGGCATCTTTTCTCACCTGGTTCTGGAGTTCAAAGAACTTACAGTCTTTGTGAGGCCTGAAAAGACAGGGGAATTAAAAACAAATCAAGCTTGCAAGTTTGTATCCTTATGAAATGAAGTTAGTTTGACTTCCTGCTGATGTATCAGTCTCCACAAGGATAATATGTCATCTCAGACCCTGTGCCCCCGTCCACCCCCCACCCTACAAGATTATTTTATTTGTTGATTAACTGTTTCCATTCTCTCCCCAACCTTCCCTCCTACCCATACCACCAGTAGTATTAGATAGCTGAAATCATAGATAGTGAAGCCACAACAGTTTATCAAGAGCTGCGTATATTCTTCTAGACTACAGATCCTACCCCACCCAGCCTATAGAGAAGGAGTCTTGAGAGACATCGCACCTTGGGATTAAGGCACAGAGCGCTGTGATACTTTGGATCTTGCATTTGAGCTGATACTTGGAGCTCTGCAGATAGCCAGACTTTGCAGTGACCCTAGGAGTCTTTATGATTAACCCATGGCTGCCTGAGAGTTGTGCTGTCCTTGGGCAATCTGGGGAGAGATGGACAATCTTGTCCATATTTGACAAGGAATATATTTGGCAGTTTCTGGCATTTCAGGGCACACAGCATACTGATTAGGAGGAATTTCATGCTGTAGCAGGAAGAAGACGCTTTACCCTCTCTTCGTGTTATAGCTGTTCTTTTAAGAAAAAAATGTGACATGGACATTTAGGGAATCTTTTGCTCATCTAATGGAATGTTGGAGGGTGAGGAACAATTCCTGCTGCTTTCTCATGTACCAATGAGACCATTACAGGTAGATTTAAACAAAAGTGTCTGATAATGCAGTGGGTAAATGTTTAGACCCAAAACACTTAGTGTTGATTTATGGGCTTAGTCTATGTGGTACTCATTCTGTTTATATCCTAAAGAAATATGGGTAGAGGGGAGAGGAAATGGGGAGCTATAGGTCAGAGGATACAAAGTAGTAGATATGTAGGATGAACAAATCCTGAGATCCAATGTACAACATGAGGACCACAGTTAATAAAATTGTATGTATATGGGATTCATGCTAAATAAGCAGACTTTAGCTCCTCTTGCCACAAAGAGAAACAAAAGGGATAACTATGTGGGATGATTAATTTACTTTATTACAGTAACCTTTCTACTATCTATATGTATCCCATAACATGTTATATACCTTAAATATACACAATGAAATTCACTTTAAAAAAGAAATGAGGCTGGGCACAGTGGCGTATGCCTGTAATCCCAGCACTTGGGAGGCCAAGGCGGGTGGATCACTTGAGGTCAGGAGTTCAAGACCAGTCTGGTCAACATGGTGAAACCCCAAATTTGCTGGGCTTGGTGGTACGCACCTGTAATCCCAGCTACTCAGGAGGCTGAAGCAGGAGAATCACTTGAACTTGGGGGACGGAGGTTGCAGTGAGCCAGGATTGTGCCACTGCACTCCAGCCTGGGTGACAGAGCAAGACTCCATCTCAAAAAGAAATGAAATATGAGTTTATACATATTTGTTGGTTATCAATGTATGTTTATATGTACATATGCTGACATCCCTTTATCAAATGTATGTATAGATAATACATTATATATTATACATATATATTTGAAAGGGAAATATTTCATGTGTCTTTATTCTTTTCAAACCTTGTAGAGTACCATGTGAAAATTTCTTTCCTGATTTTTTTCCCTCCTAGTCTCTCAGGTTACCCAGAACTCATTAAAATAAAATGAATTCCCAAAATGAATTGCTTCCCTATTAGAGTTTTCATGTATTTGAAGCTATCTAAAAATCTCTTTTCGTTCTCTACTCCCTCTCCCACCTTGGAGTATAGGAAAAATTTAACTAGCTTCTAAATCTAGGATAGTATAAGGGACAAGAGGTATGGTTGTGGGTTTGGGTTGAAATCTCTTCTCTTCCTGATAACTGTAAGGTTTGACAATTCAGGAATTATTGGGATTGGTGGGGGAGGTTGGGTAGATACATAATTACTAATTACTAATGTATTTGTCAATTCTTTGGGTTCTTATAAGTCAATGTTATGTTCAGATATAAGGATGCGGTATCTGTGCAACACTTTGTGGCTATGCATATGACTCCTTTTGTGCCTATATACGTTTGTGAATGCAGAGAGTTTTCATATTTTTATTTTTACTTTTTTTTTTTTTTTTGAGATAAAGTCTCACTCTGTCACCCAGGCTGGAGTGCAGTGGCGTGATCTCAGCTCACTGCAGCCTCCACCTCCCAGGTTCAAGCATTTCTCCTGCCTCAGCCTCCCGAGTAGCTGGAACTACAGGAGTGCCACCATACCCGGCCAATTTTTTTGTATTCTTAGTAGAGACAGGGTTTTACCATGTTGGCCAGGCTGGTCTCAAACTCCTGACTTCAAGTGATCTGCCTGCCTTGGACTCCCAAAGTGCTGGGATTGCACTTTGAGTCGCCAAGCCCGGCCCATATTTTTATTTATTTATTTATTTATTTATTTATTTATTTATTTATTTTTTTGAGACGGAGTCTCACTCTGTCCCCCTGGCTGGAGTGCAGTGGCGCGATCTCGGTTCACTGCAAGCTCCGCCTCCCGTGATCATGCCATTCTCCTGCCTCAGCCTCCTGAGTAGCTGGGACTACAGGCGCCCGCCACCACGCCCGGCTAGTTTTTTTGTATTTTTGGTAGAGACAGGGTTTCACCGTGTTAGCCAGGATAGTCTCAATCTCCTGACCTTGTGATCCACCCGCCTTGGCCTCCCAAAGTGCTGGGATTACAGGCGTGAGCCACCACGCCCGGCCTATTTATTTATTTATTTATTTGAGATGCAGTCTTGTTCTATCGCACCCAGGCTGGAGTGCAGTGGCACGATCTTGGGTTCAAGTGATTCTCCTGCTTCAACTTCCTGAGTAGCTGGGATTACAGGTGCCCGCCACCACGCCTGCCTAATTTTTTGTGTTTTTAGTAGAGACGGGGTTTCACCATGTTAGTCAGGCTGGTCTTGAACTCCTGACCTCAGGTGATCTGCCTGCCTTGGCCTCCCAAAGTGCTGGGATTACAGACGTGAGCCACTGCACCTGGCCCCATATTTTTATTTTTATTTTACTTAATTTTTTTCCTCAACACTAGAAGACTAGGGAGGGTGTTTTTAAACTACAGCATTATTATGTTGCTGTTTGTCTTGTCAAGTAGGGCTTACTGTGTTTCTCTGTTGTGGAAAGTGTTATAGATGCATTTGCTTATGTAATTTGTGTATTTTCCATACCCAGTTAAATTTTATTTATTTGTTTATTTATTTATTTTGAGACAGAGTCTTACCTTGTCACCCAGGCTGGAGTGCAGTGGCACAATCCTGGCTTCCTGCAACCTCAGTCTCCTGAGTTCAAGCGATTCTCCTGCCTCAACCTCCTGGGACTACAGGTGCGCGCCACCATGCCCAGCTAAATTTTGTAATTTTAGTGGAGACGGGGTTTTGCCATGTTGGCCAGGCTGGTTTCGAACTCCTGGCCTCAAGTGATCTGCCAGCCTCAGGTTCCCAAAGTGCTGGGATTATAGGCATGAGCCACTGTCCAGCCTATTTATTTATTCATTTATTTTGAGACAGGGTATCACTCTGTAGCTTGGGCAGTGCCATGATCTCGGCTTACTACAACCTCCACCTACTGGGCTTAAGTGAGCCTCTCACCTCGGCCAACTTTTATATATAACTTTTTTGTTGTTTGTTTTCGAGACAGAGTCTTGCTCTGTCGCCCAGGCTGGAGTGCAGTGGGGTAATCTCGGCTCACTGCAACCTCCGCCTCCTGGGTTCAAGCGATTCTTCTGCCTCAGCCTCCTGAGTAGCTGGGATTACAAAGGCCCACCACCACGCCTGGCTAATTTTTTATATTTTTGGTAGAGATGGGGTTTCACTGTATTGGCCAGGCTGTTCTCAAACTGCTGACCTCAAGTGACCTGCCCACCTCGGCCTCCCAAAGTGCTGGGATTACAGGTGTGAGCCACCACACCCTACCTATATATAACTTTTATATAAAAGTTATTGTTTCTTACTGAAACTAATAAAAGTTATTGTAAAAATTTAACTTTGACTGGGCTCAGTGCTCACGCCTGTAATCCCAGCTCTTTGGGAGGCAGAAGCCGGCAGATGGCTTGAGGTCAGGAGTTCGAGACCAGCCTAGCCAACATGGTGAAACCCCGGAAATACTGAAAATACAAAAATTAGCTGGGTATGGTGGTGCATGCCTATAGTCCCAGCTACTCAGAAGGCTGAGGAAGGAGGATCGCTTGAACCCAGGAGGTGGAGGTTGCAGTGAGCCAAGATTGTGCCACCACACTGCAGCCTGGGCAACAAAGTGAGACTCCATCTCAAAAATAAATAAATAAATAGATAAAATAAAATAAAAAACATGAAAAGTAGGATTGTTTTATTTTGAAATATATACTTCACTTATCCAGAAAGATGTTTACTGAGGAGCCCATGACAGTCATAATTTTCTTACTCTTTATTGGCTGGTGGTAAATACAGGAATGCAGTCAACAAGTGTGTAATGCCTAATAAAGGCAGACTTTTTTCCTCAGGACATAGTGTTAATTTTTTTTTCCTTTCTTTGGAATTAAAATAGTTACTGAAGGGGAAAAATGTGGATTTCAAAGAGGGATTCTGCAAGATAATTTCGTGGGTTTTTTTTAAACATCAGTTTTAATGCCCTTCAATAACTTGGTTCATTAAAAAAAAAAAAAGGCTGAAGTAAAAAGAGACGGGGTCTCAACACTGTTTCTTCAATGTTTGAAGAAGTTGCCTAAGTAGAGAGATTTGAGTATAGGTGAGA